AGCTTGCACGCTGGCTATCTGCTTGCTGAGGCTCGGTTCTCACCGGCACAAAGGCGTAGCCCAAATGCACCTTCTTGCCTCTGAACCCACACTCCCGGCGTCCCCTTTGCACTTCAAACGCTGATGCATGTGGTTAGCGCTGGTGCCACAATCAGAGGCATCTCCGGGGAGGCTGCAAGCGGGAGTGAGAACTTCCCCTCCGCTGCGCCTGCAAACGTCGCCACCTCCTCCTGGAATATGGAAATAATCCTCCCTGGTAGACAGCAGGGTCCCACCTCGGTTTCCATTCACCTGGAGATGAAAGTGTTCTGGCTGCCAGTGTAGGTGGGGCAAAACTATTTAAAAACCTCATTAGAGAAAGTATTTGGGGAAGACAGCACCGCCCTCAGCTGTGGTTTGTTCCAGTGCTTCTCGGCCAGATCACTCCGATAGAAGGGAAGGGCATCCTGAGAGGTGTTCTGCTCAGCTGTTGCTGCTTTGCTTAGCAGTGCGTGGGGTGCATTGTGCTCTCTTCTCTGTTTCGGTGGGTTGTATCCTCCGTGTCAAGGTGGAGATCTGTGCCTGCGGATGCTGTTGGGCAAGGGAAATTGGTGGCAGGGTGGTTTCCATGCCACTTGGAGACCAGGACTGCTTCCCACTGGAGGAAGGCATCCAGCAAACGCTGATGTAACCTTGTCTAGGCACAGTCCATCCTGAATATTTCCTATTCCCTTTAATCCCGTGCATGCTTTTCTCAGCTGAACTTCCAGCACGAGAAAGGTCTGTGTCCGGCCTTCTGTGTCTTCCAGGTGTCCCCTTAGCCCAAGAGACTCATTAACCAGCACCAAGATGCGTGTGCTGAGAACTGGAGCAGTTGCTGGCCCGCACGGCCCACGCAGCCCCAGCTCGCTCGGGACCCTGCTTTTGGGCATCAGGATCTCATCCCCCACAGGTGACGTTTCCTGAGGAACAGAAGCCGTGGGTACCAAGAAGTCACCACATAGAGCATCATGTGAGGCTGCAAAACCAGGCCTGGGGTAGCAAGACCATGCGAAGGATGAGGGCTCGTTCCCCTTTGGTACCAGCGGTGGGAGGTGACAGCATCGTGCTCTGCTCCCTGTAGCATCTCACATACCCCTGCGGGCTGTCACGAGCAGCCTCACCCTGCGGTCGCTTCCAGCAACACGGGCGCCTGTCCATAGCACACGATCATCGTCCAGCAGCGCCGGGGTTCAGGGGCCAAGGTCTAAACCGGCACTATCCTGACGTGAACCGGGAGACGGACATGCTGCAGATTGTTCCAACTTTCTGGTTTTCATATTGTTAGGGGCTAATGTTTATGAATGCGGGAAGTAAGTTCAGAGCACTTTCCAACGTTAATGTCTGGCTCGGCCATAACACGTTCTGGCCCTGCAGCTCTTCCCAGGCTCCAGGCTCCTGCGGGGCCGACCCTTCCTGGATAAACAGATGCCAATGGGAAGCGAGCGCTGCTCCCGCTGGAGGGTGACGCTCCCGAAGCCGCAGGTCTCAAAGCACCGTGCCTTGCTCTGCACGCCTGCAGAGCGTCACGCTTGCTGCTTTCACAGAGGAAAGCCGAGGCGCGGGGACATCTGATGAGGCCTCCCGCTGACTCACTGTTTGATGTTCGGCGGAGCCGGGAGCGTGATCAGATAGGGCTGCACGGGGCGCTCGGCGGGCGGCCGCGTCACGCGGAGCGCAGGCAGCTCCG